ACGCCCCTGACCGGAATCGAACCCGGCACCCATCAGTCCACAGACCGACGCTCCACCACTGAGCCAAACCGGTGCCGGCTCCTTGAACTTTTTTGTTGCACATTCCACATGTCTATTTCATGGATCAGAGTAGATAAAAAAGCACCACTATGACCTTTCAGAAGGAATTGTGCTGCCCGCGGATCACTGCTTGTCAAGGTCTCCTCCCTTTGTTTGCGCTCTTTGTTTCCTTACACCACCGGGCTGTCTTGCCTCGCCCTTCAAAAGCTCTGCCAAAGATGGCTTCCAGCGAGCGCTGCAGTCTACCCCTCCCCCAACCACACAGCTACTGCCGGCTTAGCCTGAGGGAGGGAATGGGACAGAGGCACTTCCAGCTCCAGCTGGGGTCTCTCCTGGGAACCCTAAAGCAGGTGCGGAGCATCCTCCTCAGGGCTGGAAGGACAGGGACTGGGAGGAAGAGAAAGTATTGGCTACACTAGCATCTTCAGTGAAGAGGAATGACAAACAGTGCTACAGATTTCATCACTTTGAGGGGCCCTCAGCCAGACAACAGTAGTGAATACAGCCATCCAGAATGACTACTGTGCATAATAAATTTAGTGGGAGAAAGGGTTTTTATCTGTGATCCACCCGTGTGCCTTGTTCTCTCTCCTGTCTTTGTTTTTTCCCCACAATTTTTTTCTTTTTCTTTTTCCCTACCATACTTTAAAATTTTGCATTATATGAGCTGGGAAATGTGCTTTAGACTCTTGCACCCCAAAAATCTACCTGAGGAACAAAAGAATGCAGCATTTTAATCAAAAAACACTTATTCTTGGCCACACCTACTCAAACTACTGAATCCACATCATCAGGAGTGTGCGTAAGAAATCTTTTTTTTTTAAGCCCTCTAGTGACCTTGGTATGTCAATGGGTTTAGGAACCACTAGTTTCTATTTATTTTTGTAAAGGAGCTATCATGGTGGCCCCAGTAACACAGTAGGGTAGAGAAGAGCAAGAACGAAAAAAAAAACAAAGCATGTGGGAGGTTAAAGACTAACTATAGTAGCTTTTTTTCCTTGAATTCTAATTTCAGGAATTGATCCATCAGGCTACAGATTTATGTGCAGCCACTGCAAATCTCCGAGGGACCGGCCCCTTCCTGCCATTTAATTAGGTTGTATTCCAATCTCATACTGGAGAGAGGAGGGCAGGCTTGGCTGCTCTCCCTGGAGAGCATTAAATAATGGCGATCTTGATTGTTCAGCAAGGTCTTTCAAGGAAAGCCTTAGCTTTCCAAGACTGACCATAGTACAGGGCGCGGGGCCCCAGTACCCTTCAAAAATGTCCTCAGATATTTTGGGGAGAATAGGGCCCCCAAACTGCCCTGTTTTAGAATGAAAAAGTATTTTGCTAAAGAGGGTGAGTGCATTTAGCTTTTGAAGACAAAGCCATAGCGCGTTATCATTTCTCCTGTTGCCCGATTTGGACCTCTCATGCACCACTGTGTACATACCATGTCACCTTAAATCATTCTTTACCTGTTCAAAATATAATAAGCTTTCTCTCCTCAAATAGGCTGTCAGATCTCTGGGGCAGGGAAAGTGGGGTTTTAATGGAGCCTTCCTTTTGCCTCTAAGTAGAGTGGCAAGCTTCAAAGGGAAATGGGCCCACTAGTAACCACTGAAGCAGAAGAAAGAACAGCCTCCCAGACTGCAGTGAAAGGGGAGGGAGAAAAGGGGTGAGAGGGCAGGAAAACAATGGCTGAATTCTGTGGAGAAGGAAGCTTTTCATCTTCATCAGCACTGCTGAGATTGTCAGAACAGAGGATACCCTGGTGGCTTCAAGCCTTCAGGTTCCGCAGGTGAGGATGTGAGCTCCTCTTCAGCCTTAGGTCCCAGAGGGTAGGAAATAGCTCTCTGCCTCTAATCTCTTCCACTCCATCAACATGTCCGCTGAGGGCACTGAAAGCAAAAGTTGATGGGGGCAGCACTGCAGAGCTGCAGACATGCTGCAGTTGCTGTGTTTTATTCTCTCCCATAGGCTATGTCTACCAGTACATGACCCTGCTATTGTCTAACACTCAAAGCCTTTTAAATGCAAACAAAACAAGCCAGGCAATATTGTCATACCCCTTAGAATGCAGGAGCTATATAACAAGCAATCAGAGGACCTGGCAAAGCCCAATTCAGATGGCAGCTGTGGGTAAGTTATCCTTTTTGTAGAAATATTGGGCTAGCCCTTCAGAAGATCACTTAGCTCGTTTTTGAGGCTTCTAGAAGAAAACACGAAGCTTCAATGAACTTAATGTGACTAATCCGGACCTTCCAGGGTCTAGGCCACATAGTGAAAAGTTCAAGTTTACAGGATCTTGAAGTAAAATAGAAATCCTCACTTGAGTAGTACTGTCATTGCAAACTGACAAAAACAAATGGTCCAAGCAAGCTTTCTTTCCTTATTAAAGAAAATAATTTATAATGAATAATAAATATCTGTACACTAATAGTTATTCTTTATCTCTAGACTAAAACCATACTTTGGAGGTTTCACTCCTTTCTTGAATGTATTTTATTAATGTTCCCTAAACCCTATTCTTTTCATCAAATGTAAACTTTGATCTTGGCTAGAATGAATTATTGTGAGTTTCTGAATTATTAGCTTCTATCCCAAAGAGCTTTTATTGTACCTTGAATTTGAACCACACTATTTAGATTATTACTTTCTAGACCTTTCTCCTGCCTCTGTGCCCTTGTGGTTATAAGCCCAGAATGTTTTATATATAAAAAAAAACTAAAAATGCAGTTGGTCTTTGTTTGGAGGAAAAAGTGAGGAAAGAGTTTAGAGGATGAAAAATAAGTGGTCTATAACAAAAACAGAACCAATTTCTTTGATTTATTACATTCACTTAGATTGGGAAACTGTTAAGAAAAAGGGCATTTTCAAGTGGGACCTCACTGCTGCTGAGCAAATTAAGTGGTTTTTCTTTAGTGCTAAGCCATCCATGAAAGTGAATATTGATGCTGTCCACGAGGTGACCTTTGATTGCAGGTATCCAAGACTGATGTGTTGGTGTTGCAAAAGGAAAAAAAAATCAAAGCAGTTAATTGCCTAGAGAGTCATAACTGGGCCATGCGACCGGGGAGACATTTCTGAGATGGGAAGAATTTGAGATCAGCACCGAGGACAGCGCCCCAACCTTTTTCATTTGCTATCTGGTGTGTAAAGCTTTCTTTCAAAAGAAATATCAATCGGTCGACAAGGGAACCGTGTTGTGTGTGTGTGTGTGTGTGTGTGTGTGTGTGTGTAGTGTGTTTTGTGTATGTGTGTGTTGGGGGAGGGGGAGAGCAAGAACAGGGCGGTTACACTAGCCTGACCACACATCTCGTTGGTTCCCAATCTCTACTCCTTTGAGAATAAAAGTCAGGAAAATGGAGTAGAACCCTTTCCAGTTCAGTCCAGCATTCTTTCCCCAACCCTAGGGCAGACCATACTCTATAAATATCGATTCCAGGACGCACAGAAAACCTTTCAAAGTCAACAAAAGAAGCCAAAGAGCCAAGACAGCACCATTGACCACGGAGCAGGTGTAACCCACCTCCGTTTGGGTGGGGAACTGTTCTTCAACTGTTTATTCCCACTTGCTGACTGGGAGGCATAAGTTAGATTTTTGAAATCTGAAGAGGAGAAGCTAAGGGCTTCTTCGTAAGAATTTCCCGGAAAGGTATGGAAGTGAGGGGCAGGAGAAGAGGGAGTCCAGGCCCCTACCGTTATCAGTGGAGAGCCCAGAGCTTTTTGTTTGCCAAGGCCTCTAGTCCAGGCTCTTTCCTCCCTCGCCCTCCCTCGGTTCCTTGGGTCACCATTGTGCGGGGGGGAGGAGGAGGAAAGGAAATCTCAGGTATGCTTAGGAGGGGACGGGGCGCCCCTCCCTCTCCAGCGCTCCAGCCCTTACCTGGTAGCTGGCCACTTCAGCGCTGTGTCTCTCCTCCAGCTCCAGGATCTGCCTCTCCAGGGACTCGTTGGCTCCGCGCAGGCCCTCGATCTCGATGGTGCGCGCCTGCAGCTGGCGCCGGTACTCGTGGATCTCCTCGCGGCTGGCGCGGATGGCCTCGGTGCTGCGCGCCGCCTGCTCGTTCAGGTTGGCGAACTTGGACTTGTACCACTCCTCGGCGGACTGCAGGTTTTTGGCGGCCAGGGACTCGTACTGGGCGCGGATCTCCCGCAGCGCCGAGCTCAGGTCCGGCTTCGCCACGGCGGCCACGTCCGCCTCGGCCGCCGCCTGCGACGACGCCTGCAGCGTGGCCAGCAGCTCGGCCACCTCCTCGTCGTGCACCTGGCGCACGAAGGCCAGCTCGTCCAGCAGCGACTCCACCTTCTTCTCCAGGTCCAGGCGGGCCAGCGTGGCGCCGTCCACGTCGCGCTGCTGCGCCTTCAGGGCGCGCTCGGCGCCCTCGCGCCCGCGGCTCTCCTCCTCGCAGCGCGCCCGCAGCCGCTGCACCTCCTCGGCCAGCCCGTCGCGCTCCAGCAGGGCCTGCGCGCGGGCCGAGCTCGCCTCCTCCAGCTGCGCGCGCAGCTCGCGCAGCTCCCGCTGGAAGAGCTCGCCCACGCGCGACGGCTCGGCGTGGCGCTGCCGCAGCGCCGCCAGCTCGGCCTCCAGGGCGCGGTTCTGCGTCTCCAGCTGGTGCACCTTCTCGATGAACACGGCGAAGCGGTCGTTGAGGCCCTGCAGTTGCTCCTTCTCGTTGGTGCGGATGATCTTGTACTCGTTGGTGCGCGCCGCCGCCTGGCTCAGGTCCAGCCCCTCGGAGGGCGCGGGGGGCCGGCGGTAGGCCAGGCCCAGGCCGAGGGACGAGGCCGAGGAGCAGGCGGCGGCGGCGGAGGAGCTCACGGTACAGCGGGTCAGCGACTGCGAGCGGTAGCTGCCGCCGCCGGCGCCGGAGAGGCGCGAGGACAGGCGCGGGCTGTCCCCGAACACCTTGCGGTAGGAAGAGGGGCCGCACAGGTAGTGCTCCGAGCTGAAACTCATGGTGCCGGGACGGCGGCGGCGCCGGGAGAGCGACTGCGGCTGCAGATACAAAGGAGAGGAGGAGAGGTGCGCCGGGCGGGGCGCGGCGGGGCGGTGAGCACCGGTTTTAAGGCGCAGGGGTGGGGGTGGGGGGGTTGGGGGCGGAGCTCTGCTCCGGGCCTGGCGGGGGAGAGAGAGAAGGGGGGCATCGGGATCGGGGTGGGGCGGGGAAGCTCCGTGATTCCTGCAGCTGCGCGCGCGCGCGCCTGGGACCCAGGGCGCCAGGACAGTCCTTTGCGCAGGAGCCGCCCCCTCTCCTGAGTGTCCCTCCCTCCCCACGGAGAGTCTGGTTTGGAAATGGCTTGAGCGCCGGGGTGCGTAAACGACTGGACCGCACGGTTCTGTCGCTTCCCTTGACCCTGTCCTAGGGTTTTCCCTAGGTCTGTTCCTACCCGGAGCTCCCGAGGGTAAGGCCCCCTTTTCCCAGGCAGAGTGGGACCCCAGGGCGAGGCTTTGTTCCCTCCCTCCGCTGGTTCGGGGTTCCCGAGGGGAAAGTGGGTCTGCGTCAGAGAACATCTTTCTCATCGGCGGTTCCTCCGCAGCTCCCTGGACCCGCAGGGGCCGGGAGGCTGCGCGGAGAGCCTGTGATCCCTCCCACCCCCCGGGGGGGGGGGGGAAGAAGCGAGGCAGATAAAGTGAGCAGGGGCCTGCGTGGAAAGAAACGGAGGGGAGAGATAGGATGGCCGAAACGGGCACCTTGGAGGCGCCCCTGCCATTTGTACACCTACGCGCTCGCGTTCACCACAGTCCTCACCGCTCTCCGTTCACTACGACCGCCCTCTGATTTCCTTTACGTGATGCGTGTGGCCTGGTGTGCATTTGAGATTTCAGTCTGTGTAAATCGTCTCGGGGTTTTGTGAGAGCCTCTTCCTGTGGAGATCTCTCTCTTTGGACAAAAGAGGTCCCTGCAAACAGACCCCTAGGAGTGGGGAAGAGTGATTGGTAACTGAACTGGCTACCTTTCCTATGCATTGGGGGGGCTCAAAGAAGCATCTGGAAAGATGAGGCTGGGAGGAGTCAGGGTGTGGGGTCTGCATGATGTAATCCTATATGATATAAGGCTAATATGCAAATCGACCAAACTGCAGAATGACCAGTCACTATGACATGTACAGACCGCCAAGGGGCAAATGCTCAAAGCAGGAGCTTCCCCCTGGTGGTCAGTGTGCTCCCACAGAGGGAGTCCCACTCAGCCAAAAGCTGGGCTCATGGCTGGTGAGCACAGCGGTGGTGGCCTGAGCTGCCTCTAGAGCGCTAAGGATGTTTGATGGGCCTAAGCCAGCAGTCAGACATCCCCTGAGGGCTCCCAGACTGCAAGAGGGCGCAGGCTGAGCTGAGGGACCCCCATCTCCCCCCCCCCCAGTGCACAAATTTTGTGCACTGGCCTCTAGTAATGCTTATAATCTCTCTCAGGATGTGGCTATGACTTTGGAGAGAGTAGGAAGAACTGTTTAGTAGGTTCCAGGATTTCAGACTGATGACATTTATTGATCTTGGGATATCAAAGGAATTAGCTCTAGGGTAGATTTTTGTTTCATGGGGGTGGATGGAAGGTATTGCCTGAGACAGACTGCCAGAGGAAGGAGAAGGGGAGTTCTTTGAGACTTTGGAGCATATTTCCCGGTTTTGTGCTTGGTCATGGATGGTCAGGCCTTTTCATATCCTGCCCACCTGATTCCTTATCACAGACCAAGGGACTCAATTCTCAGTGCTTTGGGCTCAGAAAGACCTGAAGGTGAAGAATAGAAGAATGCTCACATCGCTGAATAAGAGTCCCGGCTAGCCATTGTGGCAAGACTTTTTGCATAGGTTTATCACCTTCTGCCCTTACCTCTTTCTTACAGATAAGAAACTGAGACTTAGCTGCAGCACTCTGCATAAATTCACTAGTATCAAACATACATTCTTTCCTCACCACATAATTCTACTTCTTAGAGTAAGGAAATTCTTGAAGTCTCATTCATTTCCAGGTAGCCAGAATAAGGCTAAGTGGGTTTCAGAAGAGTTTTGGCCAACAACAACATAGCACAGTGGTCGGCAAACTCATTAGTCAACAGAGCCACAGTTTGCTGACCACTGACATAGCAGACTGGTTTGTAATTGAAAGAACATTGGATACAGAGATGAAGGGCTTGAAATTTGGCTTTTGCCACTCACCATGGGGAGGTAATAGCACCTACCTCCCCAAGGTTATGAAAGATTTAGTTGGTGCATGTAAAGGTGCATTACAAGCTGTAAAGGATAAGGAGTTACTGCCATCATTGTTTTCTATCAAATAAAGGGCACTGCTTCACCTACACCATCAACAGACTGTGAGTTGGGTTTAGTGGTGAAATTACAGAAAACTATACACCACATCCTTGTACATACAGGCTGCCCTTTGGGAGAGAGAATACAACCAACCTTGATTGATTGTGGTTCCAGGGGCCAGTGTGAGTGTGACTCACAGTTGTTCCATTGCAATGTGGAAACAACCACAGATAATTAGAAGATCTTACTTCTGGGCTACATTTCAGTCTCATTTCAACCCCATTATTCAGGACTACTAAAAATCAGCAAAATGCCATGGCCAGAGTTTTCCTTTCCTTTCTCCTTCCACCCACCCATAGAAGCAGTACTGTCCAAAGGCAAAACACACAGAGAACAGAAGAAAGTATAGAAAAGACCCAAACGATCCAACAAAGGGGTAGTGGCCTGGACGATCTAGAGTGGGGTGCAGTGTGCATTAACTGAACAGCTTATCTGATATTCCCCACTGAGATTCCCCCAGGGGACTTACACCTCCGCTTTCTTGGCAAACCCACCCCACAGGCCCAAGATGTTTGGCTTTAATAAAAGCTGCACGACAGAGGAGTGATCTTGGCGGAGCCTCAAACCACAGGTCTTCCAGCTGGCCAGCTTTCCTGAGGGATTGCCCTGTCTTCATCTTCCTCTGATGTCAGACTGAGGCACTGCAGACACGTTGGTGTGTCATTCCCAGGTTCTCCTTCCTACCACATCCTCGGTGGCCTCTCTGTGGCATTTTGCAGTGCTCACCACGTTCGTTTGTTTCAAGGATTCCATTTTCAGCCATCTGCTTCTCTCTCTCTCTCTCTCTCTCTCTCTCTCTCTCTCTCTCTCTCTCTCTCTCTCTCTCTCGTCAATAGAAACATATCATTGGGTGAGGATTTAAAAAAAATAACCTCAAATGTTATGTCTTATATGTAACATTCTAGAAATGACAAAATTATAGTGACAGAGGGCATATCAATGGTTAATGGGTTAGGTTGTGGAGAGGATGTGACTATAAAGGAGTAATAAAGGGCTTTTCTTTTTGTGGCGATGAACAGTTCTGTTATTCAAATCTTTATCAGCGATAAAAATCCATGGAATGAGAGAGATTGAGAGCAAGATAAACTGAGAAACCTAGTGCAATCTAAATTCAAAAGGGTCTGTAGTTGAATTCATTTGTTTTTTCAGTGTCATTTTGATAATATATTATGGTTATGTAAGATGTTATCATGGAGAGCTAGCTGAGTGAATAGTACCTGGGAACTTTCTGTACTATTTTTGCAACTTATTGTGAGTCTTAAACTATTTCAAAGTAAGAAATAGTTCTTTGAAAAAATATATATTTATATAATTTTTATATATGTATATAGTTAAATGTTCTTTGGAGATAAATGCTGAAATATTTAGAGTTGCAGTATCATGATTTATATAACTTTCTCTCAGATGTTTGGCAAAAACAGTGTACACTCATATAAAAGAGATAAAGCAAATGAGGCAAAAGTTAACAGTGAATATAGATGTTTGTCTTTGTCTTATAACCTCTCTCTAGGTTTAAAATTTTTTATTAAGTTAGGAGTTAGGAGAAAGTATTAATATATAGACAGATAGATAAATAGCTAAAGTAAGCCAAAGAGAAAGTATCACCTAAATCTAGGATTGAACTAATGACCTTCAATCTAACATTGATCCCCAGTGGGGGGCATGCAGGAGGCAGCCATCAATGATTCTCTCTCAACATTGATGTTTCTGTCTCTCTCTCCCTTCCTCTCTGAAATCAATAAAAATATAAATTTTTTAAAATAAAAACACCCTGAAAACACATTACCTGAGTAAAATCTGGACTTTATCTCTACTTTGCTTTAGTCAAACAACCAACATGTATTGAACACCTACTGTGTTTGTTGTTTGTATCAGTTTGTATGGAAGAAGACATGAGACATGGTCACTACCCCCTTGAAGAGTTATGGCTATTTTGAGGTTCTAACTTAAGGACCACTATAAGGCAGTATGTATTTGATTGCATATCATATATGCAATGGCTTTTGACCGGAAGGACATCCGGAAGGTCTCCTAGAAGGTCGCCTGGTCTAATTAGCATATTACCCTTTTATTAGTATAGAGGCCTGGTGCACGGGTGGGAGCCGGCTGGTCTGCCCTGAAGGGGGAACCCTACCTCCCCCTGTTATGTGACAGGTTTTAGGTTACTTATTTTTTCTGCAAGTTTCTTTACCCTCCACTAAAAGATGCTTACATGATCATATCATTAAGGCAGGTGGGGAGGATCATGCTCCAAACTTACTGGAAAAGGGGGGATATATTTTTTAAAGACACACAAAAGACCATGATATCAAGCTAAGTCATACTCCTATTTGTCCTTCCTCCATAAAAATTAAACTATTTCCATCTACATAGAAGATAAAGAGTTTTGAATCCTTCGATATGGCTCAGTTGTTGATGACACATCAATTTATGTGGTTGTAGTTCCACAAGTTTGTGTTTACAAAGTGTAGTATTGTGTTGTTTAATGCATAACCATTTCTCCCCTTTCACTTATTCCATATTTTTTCTTAGGGCATTTGGGGTTTATTTATGGCCATTCCTATTTAAAAGTAAAATAAAAAATTACTATGTTTTGACCTTAACATTCCATCTGTGATTAAGTCTATCCAGAAGGCTCTAGGTATTTGTGTGTGGTTCTCTCTTCTCTTTGTCTATCTCTCATGCTTTTAGCCTTCCCAGAATTATCTCTTCACTCA